TCACTGTTCCAGCTCCTAAGGGTTACATCTGTTAAAGGACACTTCCAAAAACACGTAATTAAAAGATGCTGAACTCCTCCAGGCAACCAAAGCAACACATTATGACCTGCTTGCCAACTCTATACAAACAAAACAATGCACCACAGTCTGTTCTGCTCCAAGGGATACTGAATGCAGTGACATTAAACACCAATCATGTGGGCTAAAGGAAAAGATGGAAATTTAATCAAAAGTTGATGGCTACGACTAGCAATTTTGCAAGACTTGGATGCCTTAAAAACATGTTCAAAAATGGGTCTGCGGTGTCCTCAATGCTAAATTCCTGGTGCTGCACCCTTGCTTTTGTTGCTGGCATCTTCATCTGCACATAGCTCACTGAGGGCTCCATTTGTGACAAAGAAAATGCACCTGAGCCTGGGCAGGTGGGTCCCTGCTGCCCTTCCTGCTACTGAACAGTTGCTCAAGAACAAACATTTCTACCTGCAAATGTGTTGTGACTCTGGCAGTAATTCCCTACAGGAAGGTGAAAAACAGGATGCATGCAAAGAATAGTGGCCAGCCAACAGACAGAATTCTGGCTGTTTTTCATCTCTTTCCATCCAATGGACTCTACAGCATAATGGATAGCTGTCACTGCACCATAGATGAGTTACAACTCGTAGCTACTGACGTGCTCTTTTCCTGTGTCCTGTCACATTCGTCATCTGCTTTGGCTATTTGCCTTCCAGAGTAGGCTCATCTTTGGTACAGTCTATCTAGAGTAAGACATGCTGAATGCCAGCTTCATCTCAATTAGTAACTAAACTTCCAAGGAAACACAGCTAACTCAGATGGTGTAAAAACCAGCAGGGGCTCCTGCAAAACTGCCTTGCACAAAGGGACATTAACCACAAAACTGAGCAGAAAAATGTAATTCTGTGCCCCAACCCCATCCTTTCAGATGAGATAACAGATACACAGATATCTTTAAAACAGTGGCCAGTCTCAAGACCTTAATTTGCTTGCAGGAGAGAAATCTGAAACAGTTAAAAACTGTTGACCTTGGAAATTAGAGTAAAAAAAGCCTCCTACCAAATTACAGTGCCAAAAGGTATCTCAGTAGAGCAATGGGAGGAACAGGAATAGAGTTTGGACAGGAAAGCATCATTAGGAACCAATCTTATCCCTTTGCTTCCACACCAGTCACCTGCATCTAACAAAGGCTGGACTCCTTTAACATCTCCCACCTGAAACGGCTCCATGTGACAACTGATGGTATCAGAGCCAGCAGTGTTATAACAGAAAGTTGCACACATACCCCTGACTAAATCTGGCAATTCAGATACTGAAAGCACTTTCTTTCCTTCCCTCTACTGGGCCTCCTCTCCTGTTTCAAGGGTTGCTTGTTCCAGAGTGAAGTCTCATAACTGGGCTGCAATTCTTTATTTCCATTCACTGCTCACAAATTCAGCTGTTTTCAAAATACATGAGCTGTTACTAAGACTGGGCTAAGACGAGAAATCCCCAATCCAGGACACAGAAGTATTCAGGCTGCAGAGAGCACTTTGAATGATTCTGAGAGTACTTCTTCCCTCAGAGTCTTACCTTGCATATAGGACCACAGAAAGTTGTGCAGAGGGATGTTATAGGGAAGATTAGGCAGATATTCTTCCCTGTGACATGGCACTGTCCACAAGTCTGGAAAGAAGGCACTAGAAAACTGTAGATATTGGTTTTTTATTTTTCCAAAAGCCCAAGTTCTCCTTCATCATCATCCTGCCTCATTTCCACAGAAATGTGGCTTCTGGTCCATTAGTGACATCACAGCTGTAAGGGATACTGACCCTTCCTTCCCCGCATCCTCTACCAATACTCTTAGAGACAACTGTTGTTACTGTTCAGCTGCTGAGCATGGTTACCAGGAATGCTAGAGAGCAGCCTCCCAATTTTTCCCTTCGAAGAACATCACTGTATCGCTATCTTTTTCTCCTGAATCTTGGGAGCTGTAGGGAAACAGCAGATTCTTCCCTAGAGACAGCTCTGGCAGCTGCTATATATGCCCTCCAGGAAGGAAAAGATAAGCAGAACTAGAAGGAAGACTTTTGCCTTCATTAGAAATCTTGAGAAGTGTAGTTATAAAATATACAAATTATTTTTTTTAATTAAAATGCTGAGAAAAATATGGAGGTGTACTCCATCTCTGACAGAAACTCTTCCTAATGTGTTTAACATGATTTTGGAGCCCAGTACGACTTACTCAACTCCCTTGCACCAACTGGGATAGTAGATCCAAAGCAGATGAGGGCAAACATTCAGGAGACCAAGGAGCTCGCCCGGATCTCAGCCCCAGACCCGTGCAAAGCACAGAAGAGCACAGCAGCAGTGACCTGGTGATCGCTGATCTCCATGATCAGCCCAGGTCCAGGCTGAAGTGCCCAAGCCAGGAAGCAGTGTAGGGGTGAGCTCATCAGCCTGTGCTTATCAGACTGGCCTGTGCACCACCAGCTAAACTAAGGGGGTCAGTGCAGGGGAAAGAAGCACACAGCGGCAGCCTCTCTCCCAAGGATTCCACCCTTGAGGCTTTTGAGTGACCCGGTCACTGCATTGCACGCTCTCCCTTCTCAACATTACCATCGCAGCAGGGCAGCCTCCAAAGCACCGCGTCTGGAAAAATACTGGAGTGATGACAACATGGGATGAGAGCGGCAGAGAGATGATGATGTGATGTCTGATTCCAAACCTAGATTTTGCAGAGCACCTAGAGGTAAATGCACAGTGATAAACCAAGTTGTCTAGACAGGGAAAGAGTGGATTGGAGAAGCAACCAAGGTGATAAGGCAAAATATAAGGAAAACGACCCAGAAAAATAAAAGAGGACAGTGGTCAAGACATAGCTGTCTGTTTACATCATGCACCACTGGGAATGCAGTCCAGACAAGTTACAGAGGTTTTCCAGATCTAATGCTAAACAAAATTACAACCTCTCTCCAAATCTGGCCTCAATACAAATATACCCCACCCCAAGATCTCATCACACTAAGCAAAGCAGAGTTTTACAAGGACTCAATTTCTGTAGCTGGCACAACAGTGCAATTCCAATTAATAGGAAATGCAGATGTGCAAAAGGAACTGTCTACACCCTGATCATCACAGCACAGGTCAGTGTTATCATTACTGAACTATTATTAATGTTTTCACTACACTGTACAAGTAATATCAAAATATTGTATCATGAATATCCAACTACTATTTAATTGTTGATACCCAGTACTTAAATTCAAAGGAAGATAAAAAAGACAAAGGAAAGCAAAACGTTACATGACACCAACAGATTCTTCACCACAGCTCTTGAATTTGAGCTTTTAAGTGAGGTACATGAAGACATGGATTGCAGGACCAATCCCTCTCGACAAAGATAGATAAATGAGTGTAAAAGCCATGAACCTTCTCCTCAGTATTGCAATTTGCTAACTTTCTCTGACTACTAAGACTTTACACAGTGATAAATTTGTTTTAATTTCTATTTTACTTCTAACAGGCTGTGAAACAGCAAAAGGAAATGTGTAGTAACAGAGCATTTCTCACTCTGAAAAAAGGAAAACACACTTTTAGAGTAATACAAAGAATGGTTATCTGTGGTAGACACTGAGTAAGAAATATTTTTAGGCTACCATATGTGTGTGTGTGCTTGGGACAAGGATAAAAACATGTGGGGCCAGTTAAGAGCAAAAAAAGACCGGGGGGGGAAAAAAAAAAAAGAAAAAAAGGAAAAAAAAAAAGACTATGAAGGCAGGAGGAGCAAACTTGAGGCAGCAGAACAGAGAACACTGCTGAACACCCACAAAAAAATAAGAGAACTGAAATACATACAGGGCCTGGAAGCAGCTTAGCAAGATGGGATATATGAAACTAAGAAGGAATTTAGAAAGTTCTCAGCTGTTCTACCTTTTAAGCATGAAATATTAAGGCAGAAAAGCACTTAAGGAAGCATTAGCACATGCATCAGCACACAAACAGGCACTGAAGCACAAGAGATGAAATGGCCATTACTGCGTTGGGGCAGCCATTCCACCTGCTCACAGAGGAGCAGGTGACACACAGATCTGCAAAATCAGATCACACTGCCAGAGGAACGGTGTGACAAGAGATCTGCAAAAAGTCCAACCATAAACTGCAGCTACTGGAGCAAAGGCATAGCTGCAGACAGGCTACCAGCCACATTGCTAGGTTACATTCACATGTGAATTACTAGAACAAGCACACAGAAAACAGGAATTAAATGTACATGAAATGAATACCCATTAAAGAACAGGAAGAATGTCAAGGATAAGAGGTGTTTACTGATAATGTACCAACTCAGCATCTTGCTTCCCTTTTTTGCTTCACTTTTATAAATTTTGTACAAATTTCAAGTAGGCACATCATGGAAATGCCATCAGTGTGTGTCTAATTCTTTACAGTGCTTCACTAACAACAAACCAAGAGAGCCATGTGCAAGATCTATAATCCATGGTAAGATTAGCTGTCCGCAGAAACAATCGATAGTAAGAATGTCCATGTCTATAGCAAGCCCTGTCACTGTGGCTTCAAAATGCAAAGGCACATTAGCTCTGGCAGGTTAACCAAGTTGCTTCTCTTTTTCTCTAGCAGTCACTAAGATGACCATGAAGCATAGCATCATCAGTATGGTGACTTCACTTTTGAAACTCAGGAGACTTGTATCCTCAGTGACTTAGGTGAACTTGTAACGTGACTGATAAAACCAAAGTCCTGATGCTAAAGTTTCTAAGGCATTTGGGAAGATTATTCATGTCAATATAAAGCATTTAGAACTCTTAGGAATTAAATTCCTGGAGGAAAAAAAAAAAAGGTTAATAAAGTGAAGAATATCCAATAGGTTTTACTCTTCTGGCTTAGCTGCAGCTTTGATACAGTATCAACAGACTTCTCAAGTTAACCAGCCCTTCAAGAAGGGGGAGAGGGTGCAAAAGGTACCAAAAAGAATCTCACACTCTCATGAATTACAATTCAACTTTTTTATTCAATTCTCCAAGTTAGTGGGACAGGGATCATCACGACTGTTAACACCACATGTGGACATCACTCCATTGCACACCCCTGCTGATCCATCCTTTCTTCCCCCCTTCTTTGTGAAGGAGGCATTATCAAAAGGCTAAGTGTTCCCATGAGAGGCAAGAGAAGACCTGCTGCTGCTGTAGAAAAACCTAAAGAAATAAATCAGTGAAAAAGTTAGTCTTTGCTCCAAAATATGAGTATCAGAAATGCAAGCAGACATCATAAAATAAAATCTCTGTATCCAGCACCCATCTGGCTTCTCTGATAGCTGCAACACAGACACACCAAGGACTAAGCCATGGGTACCAAACTCCTCTTCTGACCTTGGAAAACGCCTTTCCAGGTCAAGGAGTGAGATGCAGTGTGAGTTGTTTTCTGGAGATAAAATCTAGCTCCTGTTACCTTTCCAGTGGGTAGAGTTCAATCTCTGCACCTGGTGATCCAGCATCTTCCACACGCCTTAGATTCCTGGGGAAATATTTCATGTGGAGGAAAAATTGTGTAAAAGTTTAGCAAAGTCAAACTGCAGGTTTTTCCTGCCTAGTTCTCCCACTGATAAAACTTCAGTACTTGCCATCCAGTAAACAACCATTTCCATCTGGGCATGGACAAGCATTCCTATATCCATTACAACTGCACTACCCCTCCCGTACAATGTTGTAAAGGTTGGTGGGCAGGGTAACCTTAACATTTGTGTTGTTTCTGTTGCCTTGTGTTGGTTAGATGCATGGGAAAATATACACACAACCACACGGAGTTTCCTCCCAAAACTCACAAAATGCAAGTTTCAGGCCTAATGCACAATACCACTGAACAGAAAGAATCCAGAGAATAAAGACTACCAGGCAGTGCTCTCTACAGTAGCAGCAAGGAGGGAAAACTGCACACATCCTCTTGGACAAACCACACTTGTTGTAAATGAAATATTTACCAATCTGAAATATATACTGCTGCACAGTCAGTGTGGCATTCCCATTCTTCATGAAGGTGTAACTGAAACATTAATCTGGACTCCTGACCTTCCACTACATTGGTATGACAGAACCAAAAGGATAATTGTGCATACAGCTACTGCTTAGGCTTCTTTCTCTGCTTCAGAGCACCTTCCCATTCAGTACATGTAACACCATGGACAGTTCTCACCTCTTCAGTTCCTCTCTCCCCAAAATGTAACTATTTTACAACACAGATAAACTAAGCATCAAGGAAACTCAGCAGTGTCACTGGTTCCGGGAAATCTGCATAGAAGGACATGGCTGGCCAAAGAGGTAGCAACAACTGAGTTACTGGCTTATGTAACATGTCCCTCCCTGTCCAACAACAAATGATAATTTGTACAAGAGGGATTGTCCTAATAAATTCAGGAAATTAGCACATATGCCTGGAAATTTACAAATGTGATAAATTAATTAATTATTTAATTTTATATATTACAATAGTGAATGAGGTTCACATTGAACATGAGGAGGAATTTGTTCACAGGACTGTCAAACATTGGAACGGTCTGCCCAGGGAGGCGATGGAGTCACCATCCCTGGAGGTGTTTGAGAAAAGACTGCATGTGACACTCAGTGCCATGGTCTACCTGACAAGATGGTGTTTGTTCCAAGGCTGGGACTTGATGGTCTCAGAGGCCTGTTCCAACCTAACAGATACTGCGATTCTGTGAAATCAGTTTCTTGCTACTAGAACGCTTTATTGAAAAAAATTCCAATGACCTTTTAATAAAATATTTATTTTTCGTTCCTGTATTAAAAACCTCAATTATATTGTAATTTGTCTAACACAAAAATGCTTTTTCTTAGCTGTTCTGCTTCCTATAGAAATGGATAACAGTATTACATATTTAACTGACCACAGTTCCCTCCTTCCAAATAAGCAAAAGTATCTATTACCTTAAGACAGAATACTGTACATAGCTGCATACAACAACCTGCCTCCAAATAAAAAAGCAGACACAGAAATTCACATAAATCTTTTATAAGCCCTTCATGCACAGACTTGGCAGAGCTTAATACAGACATATTACTATGCAGACTGTATATTCTAGTAATACTTGTACTGTTTCTAAAGGGAACAAAGGAGAGGCTCAGAAATACCTTGAAAATGCCTAGCATGGGTGCAATGTGAATTTTAACTTTTTTATCAGCCTAATCCATCACCTACTTTTCAGTCAGCATGAGGAACCTGTTCATTTCCTCCTTTCACAAATATTACCCCTTGCCTGCCTGTAAAAGTCTATGACAAGAATGGAAAATAATCTATCTTCAAACCTCTACCACATCAAAGCAGCAGAAAACAGGATGCTTTGGGGTATGTCACATCTAAAAGAAAAAACAAAACCAGAAGTCTTTTGTACTGACAGACACATGGAGAACCATGGAGGATCTGGAAGTGTTCTAAATGCCTTCCTGTTTACAAAAAAAAAAAAAAATTCTTTCCTGACCAGTGACTAAGTCACCTTGGTCTCTGCTCATCAAAAAGCTCATATACATTTATGTGCCTCTCTCCTACTGCACTGAGAAGCAGCAGTATCAGGCCCATGTCCAGGGCCAGAGGAACACCCTTCTTCTCAAATGCTACTGTCATGTAAACTCAGTGCAGTAACACCTTTAATCCACATGACCCCCCATGCAAGTAGGCAGGTGCTACAGTTAGTCCGTGCATCAATGGAACCTTCAGCTCTTCCCCCCAAGATCCAGTTCCCAAAGGCCAGTATGCCTAGCATGTATTGCATACGGAAAGTCTGGTGAGATTCCTCCTTACAGCAACAGCTGGGAATGCTCAAGATCAGCAAAAGCTGTTTTCCTGCCTCATTTCTATCTCTGATGACAGACTGACATAGGCTTCAGATTCCTTTGCTTCTACTATCAGAAATTATTTCTCTTCATCACATCTCCAGCCTAACTGGATTTAAAACCCTTTCTCTATGAGCTTCATCTCACATACAGACTTTGCTCATTATTATATTCAACAAGATTCCAATCAATTCTCTATCCAAAATATTTTCCATTTTGCACATGCAATCTCATTTCACTCTGTAAAAATTCAGTTCTGGGATTTCCAGCCTGTGGTACACAGAATACTTTCAAAGGCTGTACGGTAACTAAGAAGCTAAAGAGAAAAGCACACCAGTTGTCCACGGTCCTAAGTGGTACCTGATGTGCACTGGAGACTATTTAACTGCTTAGATATCAAAATTCAGATCCAGCTTAGCTCCTGTATGTAAGTGTTGTTCCTGATTTTAGTGTGACTACCCCAGGTAACAAGAGAAAACAGAATTTGGAATTTACCAACTAATAGTTAGCTGCAAATGAAGTAGAAAATTTATGAAAATACAAAGCTACTACTGTATTCTGCATATTAGTATATATGCTGACACAATTCCTTTTTCCCAATCCACTTGAACATGTTTCTCCATATTATCAGCTGATCCAGATTCAAATTTCTCCTATGTCAAGCAGTTCATCAGTGCTTCTTCCAGTGCTCTCTCTCCTCTTATTTTCTTTTCAGAAGGAGTAGTCATCCTACTAGAGAGTCAACATTTTAGTCTCTAGCAGGAGAATTACTTAGCGTGGAGGTTTTGTTACAGTGGAACATTCTGATGACATCTGCAACAATAAGTATTTATGGTGTCTACATCAGTGGTCCCCATACAGGAGTCCACACTCCCCAGGAAGCTTTGCAACACAATCTGTAAGGCTGCACGGTGAAAATGGTTTTTTCACCATTACTGAATATAGTAAATGTTTCAAAAATAATCTTCATTTAATCTTTACCTCATCCTTTTTTAACTTATTGGGTTTATGTAAGTTTTACAATGTATGTAGTAATACATGTATGTATGTAACTTAGGAAAACTATTTATTGGGGTGCATGCTCAAAATGTTTTTTCTGATAGGAATGTGCAATCAAAGAAGTTTCAGAGCCATTTAGAGCTGAAGAGGTGGCTGAAACTACCAACTCTTAACCACAAACTCAGAAGCATTATATAACTTGCATTTCCCACTTCCAAAAAGAATTTTAACTGTTGGTGATTCAAACCTTTTTTTGCTACCTTGAGATTTAGGAAATCTCCATAAACAACACTGTTCTTTATTATCATGGCATTTCTAAGGCATACATATATGTACAAACATGTTGCTCTTAAGTAGCAAAAAAAGCAGTTGGGCTCTCAGCCTATGTGGCTGAGATGGTAAGGATGATGGTAAAGATGTTTTTTACCTTCATAAAAAAAATTCCACAGGATTGCAGAATCTTCCTCATTTATTCCTTGGTTTTTAAACTAGGTTACAATAAACATTTCACCAATGGCACAAATATGAACAGTCTTCTGTGAAGCAGAGAACAACTGGGCTAGATGTATTCCTTTCAGCCTTATTTTCCAGTATTCTAAATAAGTAGTGATTTTGGTGAAATTTAATTTTTTAAGACAAATACTGTGCCTTATAAAGGCAGAGGGGAAACTGGAATGTTCAGTCAAAGATGACAATTAAGGCATCAGGTAACCAAACACCAACTGAGACAGATCAATGTGCCTCTTGTACTACAAGCAGTCTTTTGATGGTCAGAATTCTGTAAATCAGACTCACCATTCAAAGGGACAGCTCAGGGACTCTGCCTCTCTTCATCACTCCCCTTACTCCAGTTAGTACTGTGCAATCCATTTCTCCCAGTACTGGAGGTTTCTCAGGTCACAGTCATGAGTTTCTTCTGCTGCTGCTGCTGTCACCTACCAGTTTTATTATTCTGTTGCAGCAGAAGGGCATATAGAAGAAGTTCTAGTTCAGCATGCACATAATCATCATCCCTTGTCTAAGAAGTCATGGCCTATTCAAGTTCTACATTTCCCCGTACACTAGGCAAAGCACTGAGCACAACCAAGATCAACACAAGGCTTTGAAAGCCATTCCATAAAGAGGAAGCAGCATGATACCTTTCAAGCTACAGCAAATATTAAAACACTAACTATTACAAAATGCAGTAAATTTTGGTAAACTCTCCCCACCAAAGATGAATTGCAGACTCTGCAAAGAACTAGTACTGTATTTCTTTCAAGAAAATCTTCACATAGTATGTATCTAAAGTCAGGTTAGAGATGCAAAACTGTGATCCAACATGAATTAACTAATAAATCTGAGGAAAAGAAATTTTTAATTTTAGACATTATTACAAACCCCAAAAAGACACCCAACCACATGCCTGAAAGTGTTACACCCGTGTCCTATAGCAGCTGATGCACAAAAATATACACAAATAAAGGAATAGGCCTGCCCAATGCTGAGACGCAAGAAGTGGGTGTGTCTGAAAGGAAAAAGCATTGGAAACATAAGTATAACAGGTTTGTAAAATTACCTTGCAAGTAAAATTAAAAGACACAAATTATACACTCAATTATACCAGCGAAATCAGGTATCACTCGACTGACCTTCACAGAGTGATTCCAGGTTTATTTCAGTGTAATTGAGAGCAAAATTTGGCTCTAAAATTATTCTCTCCCACCTTAATTTGAAGCTACAATTTATGATATTGCTGGTAAGTTTGCTTTCTTTCAGGAAAATATAAACTGAGACTATGAAAAATTGACTATTTTATGATGGTACAGAGGAGTAATTAATGTACACAGAAAAATAATCTGAAACAAGTGCTAATCCTTTACAGATGTCATGGGAAATATAATACTGCATTAGGAAAGTTGGAAGCCTGTTTTTAGGCTAATATTCCTCAACTTGGAAGGGTATTCCAATTGTCTAATATTTTACCTCTGAGTAAAACACAAGAGTCTCCCCCTTAAATTAAGTAAAAAATATTAAGTACCCAGTACTTTTACATTGTTTGAGATTAAGGGTGAGAGTTACCAGAGAAGGATAAAATGTACAAGTGCTTTGATACAGCAGTAAGGGCAAGATAAAATGTGTCACCCCATCCTCCACAAACAGAAATGATCAGCTCAACAGCCTTTTTCTGCAGCACACATATTCGTCCATCTGTCCTCTTTACAGGATCCTGCTCTATTGAATTTTAATAGAATTAACATTCTTAGTACTAGTTTTTCATTCCTATGAACTACTTACTTCTGCAGTTATGTTCACTTAGCAAATGGAAAGCAATGTATCTTTCAAAAATCTAAGCTAAAACAGTACACTTGAAGACAATCTAAAACTGATAAAGAGGAAGGGGAATTAATGTATTACAAAACTATCCCTCATACAGTTGCATGGTGGACTCACTTTTGTCTCACCTGAGTAAAGTAAAGCACAATGAGAGTTTTCTTAAAAGTCAACAGTACAAGAAGGAGAAATAAGGAAGTAAAGCAGGGTTTTCTCTAAATCTGGTTAAAGAAATCATTCAACAAGTATCACCAAAATGAACTGATGGGAAGAAAGGAAGGCAGACAAGTTAGCAAACTTAGGAAGGTTAGAGTAAGAGCAGAAAAGTGTCAATTTACCTGACAATAGGTCGGTTTTGGATGTCACCAAACTGCTGCATTTACCATTTTACCCGCTTGCATTACTGGGGGGAAAAGTTTAGGAAGGAACATTCGCAAGGATTTTTCATAAGTTCTCACTCGTGCCATCGGAAAGGGGAGAAGGGGTTTTCTCTGGATTGTTTGACTTTTTTGGCTCCTGAAAAGTTTTGCAAAGAACAGTAACAAAGTGTGAACTGTTAGAACACATTTCTGTAAAAAAAGGGAGAATAAGTCACCCAAAATAGCACAACAACAAATCCCACCCAAAATCCGCACAGTTAATTTGTGTCACCGTTTTAAACAAATAAACAAAACAAAAGCTTTTCAACTCAAATTAGAAACATGGGAGGCCTGGAGACTTCCAACAGCAGATCCACCATCAGAATGCTCCAAAAGTCACCCTCAAAGGTTAAGAAAGATTTAAAGAAATAAAACAAAGGAAAAGGCAGCAAACATCTGGTTACAAATACTGCAGTGTTCAGTTTAAAACAATTCCTAAAACAGTGAAAAAATTAAAAATTAAAAAAGGCAGTAGCAACAGAAGTTACCTGTCCGAGCACCTACTATTCCATAGAGAGAACAGGAGTGGGTCGTGTGTCTCACACCAGCCATAAAGCCCATAAACCTTCTCAAAAAGAGTGAGCCATGAGAAAGATACTGTACGATCTGTTTTCAAAGTCTCTCTAAGCCCTTATGGTCCCTTATGTATTTAACTGACAGGTTTTTGCAATGAGGGAATTTAGCGAGTGTCACTGGTTTCATTTGCTGGATTGTGCAGTCCGGTATAACATCTGAAGAAGTATCTCCTTTGCGTCTGACATACCCAGATGTTCCAGAGGTTATTTCCCGAGTAAATATCACACAGCAAAGATAGCACACGAAGTGGGAGAAAGTCAGCTCAGAACAAAAAATGTAACAGTCAATGTAAACATCAAGCAT